TTTTTAAAGCCCTTTGAAATACTTAAAACCTGTGAAAAGGAGTGCCGGTAAAACATGTGGCATTGCTCTGAGCGTTTTTGAGTTTCTATTTTTATAGGCTGCTCCTTTTTGCACTTTACTGTCTGTCTTTGTTGATACATTTCTAAGGGTGTGGATATATTCATATTATTGTCAGGCAGGTTTGAAATAGATTTAGGCAAAGACTGCTTAAAACTTGCTCTATCATTAAATTGTTTCAGGATGTGGAAATGCTGCCTCTCCAGAATCACAATGAAAGCAGAATTACGAACTGTGGCGGACCAAGTACAATTAAATCATTCCAAAGGTGCTCAGACCACTTACTGCACTGGAAGCATTAACTTAGCATTGTGTTTGCCTTCAACCAATTTTTAATTAACAGACTATTTACTCTTAAACAAGAATTGAAAGGCACGTACATTTTTTTTACAGTTTTAAAATCCAAGTGAAAAATTTTGGCAGTTTTAAACTCCAAGTACTCACTTAAAAAAATTGCCCCAAGGCTTAGAAACTACCCCTGGTCTTATAAAGTTATACCTGAGTGTTAGAAAGTACTTGGTGGCGTACTTTTTTTTTTTTTTTTTTTTTTGCGTTACGCGGGCCTCTCACTGTTGTGGCCTCTCCCGTTGTGGAGCACAGGCTCCGGACGCGCAGACTCAGCGGCCATGGCTCACGGGCCCAGCCGCTCCGCAGCATGTGGGACTTCGCGGACTGGGGCACGAACCCGCGTCCCCTGCATCGGCAGGCGGACTCCCAACCACTGCGCCACCAGGGAAGCCCTGTGGCCTACTTTTTCAGTGAAATAAATGAGATTATTTCATGCGAGTAAACTGTATATGTGAGAAACATACATACTTCTAAAATGTATTCTAGTAACATATAGTTATTATTCTGTAATCTAATGGAAGAAAATTTACTCTATTGAAAATTGTCTCACTATGAATAGAGGAGAAAAAACACACAGACCATATGTGCTCAATATTAGTTTGTACTTTTATCAAGTCTGTGAAATATCCAGGGCTATTCTGTTAGGATGGTTATATGAGAGGACAAAGAAGAATTTATGTTGTTGCCCAGTCTATAGGATGCTTGCATTTGGGCTTCACCTGGAGTGAGTGAAGAATTTTTATGGTACTTTTCTAGAAGGTACTACTGACTGCAGAACACCCACGAGCCAACAGTGCAGTCGCGTGGCTGGGTTGGTGGGTCACAGATTTGTTTCTCCATTTACGGAGAAATTTGAGTTAACACCTTAAAACAGCTGTTCTCTGAAAAGCTGGGTATCCTCGTGTCATAGGTGATTTCCCCTGAAGACTTGCAGGGACATTATGACAAGTGGACTTCTAAGGAGGCAAAGTCAGAGTAGCCGGGAGCTTCTGCGCTTGTGACAGTCTTGAGACTGCATGCACGAGAGAAACTCAGGCTAGTCAATAGAGGTATATCTGAATCCCAAACATCCAAGAAATGTTTATACAATAGGGTCAGCTTAAGGAGTGGATATTTTAGCTAAGAAAGACCTTGTATCTGAAGGTCTGTGCCTCGTTAAGTCATAGATCATCTCTTAAGGGCAAAAGATGTACTGGTCTTTGCACATGAACCCCCAAAGGAAAGGATGGATGTGTTGATCTGCCAGATGAGTGATTATTTTCCTTGCCCCAAAGGACCTAGTGGGGTTGGAGCCCCAAAGTCCTGGTTATCAGGTTGAACATATGAGGATTTCAGTGCCATACCACTCACAGAATTTAAATGGAGGATGTAGTCTTAAGAGCTACATTTGTAAATTATAACACAAATATTCCCAAGAATCTCCATGACTGCAAACTTAGCCAAGACTTTAAAAGTACTTTATGAAATCCTGAGACTTTTTTCAATGGCAGAAAGACGAGATGAAAAAGGCAGAAAAACTAAGAGAAACCATGACTCCTTTTTTCCTTCCTTCCTTCCTTCCTTCCTTCCTTCCTTCCTTCCTTCCTTTCTTTATGCATGCATTTCCTTGTTTGCTGAATCATGTGCAATTTAGTTGTAGACATGATGACATTTCACCCCTAAATACTTCAGCAGATACTGCCTGAGAACAAGGACATTTCTTCTGCATGACCACAGTGCAATTATCACGCTTGAGAAATTTAATTTTGTTACAATACCTTTATTCAGATTTCCCCGATAGTCCCAATAATGTTCTTTATAACTGTTTTTCCCCTAAACCAAGGTCCAATCAATCGCTACACATTGCATTTATTTGTCAAAGTTTCCTTTAATCTAGATCAGTTTCACAGTCTTTTATCATTCATGACATTGGCATACCTGAAGCCTAGACCAGTTGTTTTTGTAGAATATCCCTCAATTTGAATTTGTCTGATTGTTTCCTCACATTTGAAATCAAGACTCTTAATAAATAAATAAATGAAGACAGGAGGGTAAAGGGAAGGAGAGGTGAGAGAAAGGGAGGGGGGAACAGAATAAGAGAAAAGAAAGTAAAAAGAGATGCAAACAAATTGCATGAAGATTTCAAACAAGAAAACCATATCCAGTAGATTTGTATTCAGGCTGTATTGATAAGCAAATGAATGGAGTGGTGAGTGAGGGAACATGGTACTTATTGAGAGTTAAGGATATCTGAAATATTGTGTTTAGAATATTTTGCATAGAGACACGGGAAGAAACCTTGAGAGTTTGGGTTGTGTGCCAAGTTAAACACAAAATGAAGTGAAAACAACAAAACAAATTCAAACTAGTTCTTTTAATCTGTACATTGAAAAAATGAGGTGTTCTGTTTTTCTTAATATACGTAAATATATACATAAACCAGTTGTTGGTGCCATTTAACGCCAGGAGATTTGTTTCTTTAAAACCCTTCACCAGGTTTACAAAATTGAAAATGATCTTAAGGCGTTAATAGGAATATACAAATACTATTCCAGATACATGAGAATTTAGTGTTCTTTAAAACCTCCGAAACAGAGATTCACAGACCGTATCTTAAAAGGAAGACTCCTAGAAAAGCTCTTCAGGAAGTAAATCTTATTTTCAAGCTGTCAGGAAAAAAAAAAAGAAGAGAAAATCATCAGGCATCAAAGGCTAAGAACAGCTGAAATACGTTTCCTAACTCGCTGCTGTGTCTCCATATTTGGTGCCTGCTTCTCCGCCTCCTCTCCAAATAAGTAAAAAGAGGGACACATAATTGTAGGAATACTGCAGAGAAGCCACACGTTCAAATAGTTTTTGCTGTACTTTACTGGAAAATTTATACGCTCATTCCTGACATTTGGGGAGGATTTTCTTGGTAAGGGCAGACTTGTAGAAAAACAAAACTACCCGGGGTAGGAAAGGTACTCCATTTCCTGTTGGTGTCTAACGTGGCTCTGACTGCTGTCCTTGGAGTCTTGAGGCTATATGCAGTGAATAATTGCTCACTGGATCCAGGAGGTGCAGTCTCCTTTGGTGGGTTTGAGGAATTAACTTCCCATTAAGGCTTGAACTGGGGCAGAAGTAGACTTTGTAGTTGGCTTTTCTAAGACTCAGTGGAAACAGAGATGTTGAGATCTCAGGTTCTGCTGTGTTGATTAGTAAGTGAAATTTGGTGTGCAGAGGAGAATCCATTTGTTATGCTTTTATTTTTTAAACTGTTTTATTACGAAAAAATCAGACATACTGTATAGAAATGTACAACAAGTCCCTGTTTCTGCCTATTGCCTAACTTCTACAATGATCAGCTTCTTGGGAAAGTTTTTTCATTTTTATGCCTACCCATTCCCCGCTACCATTTCATGTTGAAGTAAATCTCAGATATTATAACATTTTATCCATAAATATTTCAGTAGAGAATAGATATTCTTTGAAGCAGTCTTGCTTAAAGTAGGAGTGGTATATGTGTTTAATGTAAAGTGTCCTACAAATTAATGTACAATTGATGTGCTCCCAGGCTCTGTTGAGAAGGTTTAGAAGGGTGAAATCCAATCAAACTGATAATTTGACGGGAGTGTGGTGGCCTTCTTGAATGGTCAGTCTTCGTTTGTGGAACAGTAACTGTAGGTCCAGTAAAAGAGTGATGTCACCAAAGAATTTCTGTCTTGAAGAAATGAGCGTTGTTAAGATTTACGAGTCCTCTTTGTTCTTTGGGCTACTTCTGGTGATAGGATATTCTGACTCTCCAGAATGTTATAACCATGGACAAGAGATACTTAATATGTCTTTGAAAATAAACTTCCCATTTAAAAAATGGGTATGACACCTGCTGTACCTATTCACAGAACTGTGATGAAGATAAATTGTCATCTGGGATATGAATGTGCTTTAGAGATAGTGGCCCAGTTACATATTCTCTTTTAGCATAGGATTTTGATTCTTTGAAATGACCAATGTTCAGGATTTTTAATGGTATCAGAGAATGTAAAGATTGAGGAAATTACTATCTTGAAAAAATATATATATATAAATGTATGTATAAATTTTGGGAATTTTTTAAAGAATGATTTTTTATTGGAGTAGAGTTGATGTACAATATTATATGTTACAGGTGTACAATATAGTGATTCACAGTTTTGAAGGTTATCCTCCATTTATAGTTAATATAAAATATTGGCTATATTCCCTGTGTTGTACAATATATTCTTGTAGCTTATCTTCTACATAGTAGTTTGTACCTTTTAATCCCCTATGCATATATTGCCCCTCTCTGCTTCCCTCTCCCCACTGGTAACCACTAGTTTGTTCTCTATATCTGTGAGTGTGTTTTAAAGAGTAATTTCATTACCTAAGTTCTCTTTTCTTTTTCCCCCTGAATATATTTCATGTGAGCATTTTATTCTTCTCTAAGTTGAGATACATTTTGGTTGACACCCCCCCTCCCCTTTTTCTTTTCTCTCTCAGTTAGTAAAGGCTTTGGGAATGGTTTCTTGATCAAGCTTACCAAAATTAGTATGTTTCTCTTGGAAAGATTACCAGGTGATCGGAACTTTTTTTCCTTCTCTTTTCTTTTTTAGCCTTGCCTCCCCGATTGAAAGAGATGAAAAGTCAGGAGTCTGCAGCAGGTTCAAAACTCGTGCTTCGGTGCGAGACCAGTTCTGAATATTCCTCTCTCAAATTCAGATGGTTCAAGAATGGGAATGAATTAAACCGAAAGAACAAACCACAAAACATCAAGATACAAAAAAGGCCAGGGTAAGTATCATGCATATCACAGCAGGGGCAATGCCTAGCAATACAATGATATAAAATATACAAGTTACAAACAGCCTAGCAAATAAGTACACCATCAAAAAACACGATATATAATAAGTGAAAAGATTTTTCATTATATGGTGGCCAGAAATTGTGTCATTATATAGGAAAGAATTGAAAGTTTCTGATTCTTACAACTTCTGGACGAAGAAAGGAAAGGATGGATGTGGAAAGAACTGTAGGGTGTGGGTGGAAATAGAAGGGATGAGGGAAGGTAGTATTAATAGCAGCTGTTGTAATACTAATAGGTGGGACCCTGAAATCCCATTTAGAGTACCAGTGCCTTGCACAATCAAAATCCTGACTTTGTTATAAAGATCAATAAATACCGAGATTTATGGAAAGACTTAGAATGTAATCAGTCACTCTTGAACTATTTTCAGGTAAAAGTTTAATACATAAAATACCTAACAATTCTATTCAACTATATCACCGTTAGAGCAGAGTAAAACATCCAGTAATCCTGGGTAGCAAGGATCTTAAATTTTCCTGCCCTCCTTGAGGAGATCCATATTTGGAAAGGCTTCATGTGATTGCCTATAGCATCTTGGTAGGTATGTTCTATACCTACTCTAAAATGATGCTCTTTTATTATTCCTACACTCTTTATTTTTCTCCTTATTTAAGAAATTTTTCTTCTAATATCAAACTACATTTTGAAATGATGGAAGAGCTAAAAATCTTGGATTTTTGCTTGTGAACGGTCCTTTAATCAATGTGGCATGTATCATAGTGGCTCCAAGCTCCAAGATTACATTTTCTCTACTTCAGAGGATTCCAGTGAAATCCCAGCTATGATAACAGAAGCAGCAATGAAAGAATCTCTGCCTGGACTTTGATTTTATAGGACATCTACCAAAAAGCCACACACTCTTGCAAGTGCAAGAGTAAATGAAGTGATTATAGTGGAAATTTAATTTAATCTTACAGTGTTTAATGACTGTAATAACCATAATTAGGGATGTTGTTCTAGTTCCCATGGTTTTAGTAACTACACTGCTTATTCTTTATTTTTTTTTGCGGTACGCGGGCCTCTCACTGTTGTGGCCTCTCCCGTCGCGGAGCACAGGCTCCGGACACACAGCCTCAGCGGCCATGGCTCACGGGCCCAGCCGCTCCGTGGCATGTGGGATCTTCCCGGACCGGGGCATGAACCCGTGTCCCCTGCATCGGCAGGCGGACTCTCAACCACTGCGCCACCAGGGAAGACCCACTGCTTATTCTTGTTATTGATTGTGTCAGTACCATCTCTCAATTTGGAAGAAGAATACAGCGTGAAGGCAATATCACTTTCTGTAACAGGTGGCACTTCAAAGATGCAAAGAATAATGCTGTAGAGTGACAGGGTATTTTTATACATACTCTTATTTGTTTGTTTTTTACAACATTCCCCTAGGTAGTAAGGACAGTTTACTGCACATGTGACTCTCTAATTTTGCAGATTAAGCAATCAAGGGTCAAAAAAGTGTTGTCTTGCCTTGAGTCACCCAACTAGCTGTGACTAAGCTGGAATACAAATCTATTTCTTGGATTCCTTAATGCCTCATTCCTTCTTTAAAAATGGAAAGCAGACACGTTTAATAACGTGTCCATGTGGGGAGGGGAGGAGATAGAGCGAACGAATTGAAAAAATAAGCATGATTCTTCTAGAGACGTTTCACAGCAGCAAAAAATACTTTTAGATAGCTTTTAGTGTCTGTTTTGTTTTTCATCGGATAGCCAAGTTAGTAAGAAACTCAGTTATCTGCACATGCAGGGTCATGTCTCATTCATTTCTATGTGGCTGTCATATAATAGCAAAAATAAGTAAGTGCCCGCGAATGCTAGGAATGTGGAGAAACGGAAGAATCCTAGGTGTTATCTTTACACTCAGGGGGTCGTAAGATTGTAGAGAGATTATCCAGTTCAGCCTTATATAAAACATAGGAGATCCAGTGATCAAGCGCTGAAACCCTGCTAGGGCTGGGGAGCGTCAAGATTTTTAAGCAGCCCATCTGTTTACAAATAGTGATCTAAAAAATGGATTAGTTATATTGAGGTAAATTCTGCTTTATGGTAAGTCCAGATTGAATTAGGGAGATGAGATATCTGGCACTTCATATCAGACAATAAAACTAAACACTGAATTGTAGGTTACTGATGCTAAGTGCCACGGGAGTTGGGAAGTGCAGGAGACCCGAAGAGATTCAGGAGTCACTGTGAGGTGGTAGATTTGACTCTGCTGAAGACAGAGAACCCCTCTAGCTGGGTGGGTGCGGTAGGGTGGGGTGGTTATAGAGAAGAGCAGAAACCACAGTCAGTAGCAGGTTCTGTTCATAGGGCAATAAAGAGGCCAGTTGGGTTGGGCCAGTGGGGGAGTGGATGGGGAATTTTGCCCTTTATTGGACAGATGCTGCGTGTCGGCCCCGGACTAGATGCTGGGTCCACAGAGATGAAGAAGAAGTGCTCTCTGCTCTCAGAGGCTTGGTCTCAAGAGGGGAGGGAAATGTAAGCAGTTGTAATACTCAGTTGTAAATTCAACGATAGTGATGATCACGGAATGCTGTAGAAAGAAGCTCACCCAGGCCGGGGAGAGGACCCAGTCCAGGACTGTGGAGGCTTCCTAGAAAGAGGGGAGGAAGAAGAGAGGGAGGAGAGGATTATCTAGACTGAAGGAACAGAACAAAGCAGCTGCAGACTGCAGGTATTCTAGGTGAGGATGCCTGGAGAGAAGCTAATGAGATTGGGTGAATAAGAGGACAAAAAGGAACGAGTGAGTTGCCTGGAATGAATACGGTTTTGAAAGAGAACATGTATAGGTAAAGAGCTAATTGGTTGCATGGCTTGGATGACATATAAAAGTGTCATTGCTATTCAGAAAAGCATTTTCATATTGGCTTCATAGGCCCAGACAGCTAAGAGCACTGTCTACATATTAATAAAATCCCATTATCCCGGAAAGGCCGATATTCAGAAATTACTTCTTTTAAACAATAGCCTTGCTGGAAAGAATTAAGTGGGAACAAGAAAGACTTTTATTCAAGTAATGTGACTGTAAATTACTCTTGGCAAAGCATTGAGCATATTTGATCCTCTGAAAAATAAGATACTTTGTGTAAAGTGGGCAACTACTGATAAGGGACCAGCTTATTGGGGTTCAGAATTGGGTATTCGGTCATTTCTGAAGTTGTATCTTTAAAAAAAAAATTAGTGCTGTCACCTTTTTTTAAAGCACCAAACTGAATCTAAATTTAATTCACATTTGCAAGATCCTCAATTATTTCAACTTAGAAATATAAGAGAATGAATACTGTTGTTATTATACCCATTAAAAAGTTAATATCCCAAGAATGAAGGCCGTTAGGTTTCTTCCTGTAGATATAACGTTAATGAATGGTAACACTTGGGCTTGAAATTGATCTGAATCTATGTCTTTTGTCTTTTCACAACTACTTGTGATTTTGCTGTAGTATCCAATAAAAATCACGACTTCAGGCAAGGGGCATGTTCAGGCTTAGGGTAAAGTCTTCAGTAAAAGACATTCTTGTTTGCCAGCTTCATCTACATTACTCATAATTCTTCATTACAAAGATGTGCAAAATGTCAGTGGTTTGCAGTGGTTTCTTGCTTACTTAACTTTATCTTACTACATTTGCCCTTAGCCAGCAGGCCAAGAAGGGATGCACTTTATCTTAGACTGTGATCACAAGCAGAGGTGAATTTTAGTGTGAGGTTTAGGATTTCCCTGGCATTCTCTTTGTTTAAAGTAAAACATTGACCCTCTTCCAGTCCTTCACCTCCGTTTCTTTTTCACATTTTACAATCTAGATTGTTCGTAGCAGCCAGAATTTCCTTTTAATCCCTTAGTGTTATGAAAAGATTTTATACCGATAGGGAATTGCTATTATTTTGTAAAGTCTTATCCACCTTCGGCCCCTGCTCCTACTAATAAAGGACATTCCTACATGTTCTTCCTATGATTTTGCATTCACGTGCGAGCCTTTGTTTATTTTATTTGGCTAAGCGATATGTGGGACCAATGAAAAGAAATGGAAACTGCCCTGGTCTTAAGTGTCCGCTTATCCCCTTGTTCTCCTTTCCTTTGCCTGGTGGACCACTTTGATCAAGAAAACTGGTTAAAGAGCTTGGTGTGTGACAGATCGTATTTGGGGGGTCGTCCAGTTGGCTTCATTTGCATACCTGTCCTACATCAGCCTCGTTAAAGTCTGACTTCCTGTTGTTTGTGTCTGGCGCACACTTTTGGATGCCCTTAATTTTGTATCAGCTCTTCGTTTCTGTTCTCACATTTTTTTTTTTTTTTTTGGCTGCGCCACACGTCTTATGGGATCTTAGTTCCCTGACCAGGTGTCGAACCCAGGCCCTCGGCAGTGAAAGCACGAAGTCCTAACCACTGGACCACCAGAGAATTCCCTGTTCTTACACATCTTAATTTTGTTTAAAATCGATTCTAATTGATTTGGTCAAGTTAACAAAATTTTTTAAGGAATTATTTCTCCTGTTATCAATTGTCTCAGGTTTTTTTGACTCTATAATAGAAAAGGTTTCTACACATCCCCTTCTTTTATGAGTTGAGCCGCTCTGACAGGTCATTTTAACTTTATATGTAGGAAAATCTCAAATTCTTTGGGTATAAAACGGGAATACGCAGTGCCTGTTTCATAGCGTTTATGTGAGGCATTTTACGCAGTGCCTGGTTCTGTAGAGTTTCACAGTTGCTGCAGTGGCAAGTGACTTCATTCTGGTAGAACCAGATGGCAAGTGACATTCTCTAGTTTGCACTGTGAAATCCCTCTCTCTCTTCTTTACCCTTCTCATCATAGGCAATTCAACAGTATCTGAAAGCTGTGTTGAACACACACACACGCAAGTTCATATGATTCCTTAGAGATCAGAGGAATGGAATTTTATAAACTGAGGTGATCAGTTCTATATGCATTTAAGTTGCCTTAGCCTGTAAAATATGGTGGAAGAATCAAGTTAAGTAAGAAAAACGAGATAGTAGCTATGGGAGCCTTGAATCTGTCTTGTCAGTGAGCACTCATTAGAAGAACACAGTTTGCATTTTGATATAAAAAAAGAAAAAGAAATTAATATTTATAACTGTTTGTATTAATTTATTGTTACATTGTTTTATTTTTTCTTACTCCAAACCAATGCATGCTTATTATAAAAATCTAAAAATTGCAGGCATGTAGAATGTAATTATAATAATAGCCAACACTTATTTGGAGCTTACTCTGTTTCAAGCATTTTTTTAAACATGTTACATGAATTAACTGTTTTAAAACTTTTAGAAATGAAAATCCGCCAAAATATTCACCCCTCCCAGATCCCCAGGTAACTCATCAATTAAAGAGCAAAAAGTTAATTTTGTGATTGGAAGGGAGTTCATTAATTCTTCCAAGTTAACTTTCTTCTTTTAGGCAAGATATGGTAGCCTACTGAAGACAGTAAAATAAGACTATTATAACCATACTTATTAAAGCCCCAAATTGTTGCAGTGTATAATTTTTAAGAAGGTTTGTCTATTTCTCCTCTCTCACTATTTCCCATTCCTGCTCTAAGACCCAAGGATTGAAGAATCTCATAGTTAAAGGTGTCATTAGAGTTCAAAGGGGCCCTTCATGTCCCTGGAGAATTTTGAGTTTCCATTGAACTGCAAAAAGGGTTGCCAACCTTTTTGACATAAACACTTTCTCCCTTCATAATATTTTTAAATATGCATGTCTCATTTAAGCTTTCATTTTAAAACAGGGTTTGGTTTTTCAAAGCTGATTGAAACCACTGATCTAATTTAATCTTTCTCTGCCTAGAGATATTCTTGTTAGGAATTGCTTGACAGGTGGCTCTCCAGACTTGAATCTTTCCAAAGAGAAAACCTAACTCTTTCACACGACACCCTGTCCATTTTTGGGCGCTCAAAAGGTTCTTCCTTATATATCATCCAAAATGTACCTTCTTTTTCCTGTAAGACACAATTCTACCTTTAAGAGCTTCACCAAATAATTTCCTTTTCCAGATAACAACGATGAAATGTATTTAAATATATCTTGTTCATAGCTACCTGCCAGTGGAACCTCTGGTCCTTTAATAGCATCTTCTCTAGTGATAAGATTTCTAGGCCCTATTCAATTCTGATCACCCTCTTCTAAACTCCTCTAGCTATTGATATTTTTTTTTTTATCAAATGCCACTTTGAAACATAATGCAATCCTCTAGGTGCGATTCAGCCTGTGAGCGGTGTATTGAGACTTTTATCCAATTTGACTTGTGCTCTTTTAATATTAATTTGGCCAAACAGTGCATACATATCTTTTTTCTTCTTTTTTAAATAGTTGTTTAAAATGGAGTAATGTTAAACGTGTAGCTAATTGAAATCCCTTTTTTCTGTATATATTGTTGTCAAGGCTCATCCCTCCCAGCCTGTATTTCTGCTACTGATTTTTGAACCTGAGTGTATTTGTTGTGCTTGGCTTGATTAAATTGATTCTTGGTCTTGGCCCATTGATGCTCAGTCATAGAATTCCCAAGCGTGTCTCTACAGAAAGGATTCCTTAGTCACTTGTCGTGCCTGCCTTAGAAATTCGCTGTTAACTATTTACGTAAAATGACTAAGAGGTAGAGGTTGTAAAGAACTCTAAGTTTGTTTAATGCAACACTTACTTCAGCATAGAAAATTACATTTTTTCCCCTTGTTCTCTTTCTCTTTCTCTTTTAAGCATAACATTTATTTACATTCCTTGGAATAGTATTCCAGTAAACACTGCCCAGGTCTTTTAGGAGAATTTTGATTTTAAGAACTATCCCTCTAAGATTAACTGCAAATTAATGTTAACTGTAAGTCTGATTACCATGTTTCTTTAAGAAGATTCTCATGAGAGAGGTACTCAAGGCTGGCAGAATTTAGAAAAAAAAAAAGCAGCTCCAGGTACATGATCATGAAAGGCTTGACGAAGGAACTGGCTCAGAGGTGGTCCTTAAAGATCAGCTCATATCTTGATGGGTAGAAATATGGGGCCCCCATTCTAGGAGAAAGAAGTAATAAGCAAAAGTACCAACATGGAAGGCAGGTAGGGGTGGTTCAATTCAGTAGACTGGAGGAGAAGAGTAGAAATTAAATTTTGGACAATTGATCCAATTTGATTAATAATATTATCTGACAAGAAGACCAGAAAATTCACTTAAAAATTAGGAAGGTGTAGTTTACGGGAGGTTTGCGTATAATTCTGAGTTGCTGTCTTTGCTTCCTGCCTTTTCTCCCTGATGTCCTCCTCTCAAGAACCCAGGCAGTCAGTACCAGGCTCCTGTATACAAGGACACTGTATTTTTTTTTTTAATGTTTTACTGGAGTACAATTGCTTTACAATGTTGTGTTAGTTTCTGCTGTACAACGAGGTGAATCACCTGTATGTGTACATATATCCCTTCCCTGTTGGACGTCCCTCCCCGCTCATCCCACACATCTAGGTCATCACAGAGCACAGAGCTGAGCTCCCTGTGCTATATAGCAGGTTCCCACTAGCTATCAAAAGGCTTTAATGAATGCTGTGCCAATCCCAATAGACCTGAGTTTTTAAATCATAGAGACTGCTTAAATTGTAGGCTATGTGCAGTAGTAAAGCATAGAGACAGATGCAAATCACAGTGCTGCCCATGCTTAGAAGGAGCGCCAAATATTGATTTAATATGTAGTTTTATAAAAGTGTGTGCTATTGTTGCATGAATATTTATTTCAATATTAAGAACCATTTGTGTGGTACTGTGCTCCCAGCAATGAGAATCTTTTTAAAGAATGACAAATTCCCTTTCTTTTGGAAGTGATAAATCCTCTCCATTCAAAATTAACATAATTCCTGATATCACTCTGCTGGGAAAAGAAGTGCAGAGCATTTTAATCTAGTCTAGCCTTCATTAAGTATCTGTGCTTACCGGATTTATAAGAAACGGCTTTACACTTTTTTATCTTCCTTAACCCTAGTGGCTGGTGACATTGAGATACAGAGAGGAAAGAAAATTTATCGTTTGGGTGAAAAAAAATTCTGAGGCATAATGTGGTTAGTGGTGGTGCTAGAGGAATAATAAGAAAAATTAGAAAAGAATTTGTTTAAATTGCTGAGCTGGGTGATAAAATTAAGACTATGTCCAGGGTTTAATTTAAATGAGATGTATCTCACTTTTGGTAAAATCACACATCTGTGTACTAGCCAGTTGTGTTTTAACATGGTGTGTGTAGAGTGGGAAGGGGGAGTTTGAGAACCCTGAAACTACAGAGGCTTTATTTTGATGGCCATTGTATTTCTGTGAAATATACTTACAACCGCTTTGGTCCTGGTCTTACAGGAAGTCAGAACTTCGCATTAACAAAGCATCACTGGCTGATTCTGGAGAATATATGTGCAAAGTGATCAGCAAATTAGGAAACGACAGTGCTTCTGCCAATATCACCATTGTGGATGCAAATGGTAAGAGACACCTACTATGTGCTATTTGTCAGTCTCTGAGAGGAGTCATCAAGGTATGTGGTAAGACTTGTAATACATCGGTGTGTTAAATCTCATTGTGAACAAACAAAAATCGTGGAGGGAAAGCCATGCGTTTCAAGTATCTTATGGGTCCTCCATAAGGCTCTTTACTCATGATGTGAAATAGACCTGAAATATACATAGATTTTTTAAAAAGGGATTTGAATAGCATCATGAATAGCAGAGACAGGATGGTTTGCTAAAAGAAAGAGATTATGCCTCCACTTTAAGTTAGTCAGGGAGAGCAGGTAAGTTTTTTGCTCTATCAAACCAGAATATGTGTATACATGTAATTTATGTACATATGTGTATACAGAATATATGTATATTGTATATATTTACATACATATGTGTATTATGTATGAATATATGTTCTGTGTGTGTGTGTGTGCGCGTGTGTGTGTAAACAGAATACAATCCTGACGTAGTCCTGGCAGTTTTTATGTTCTTATATACATCTGGCTCTAGGTAGTAGAAAGTTAGGCCTATCAGGTTGTTTTAGGCCTGTTAATTTGGAAATTAAGACAGTCTTAGAGGCAAAGCCTTTTTTTTTTTTTTTTTTACTATGTATAGGCTTCAGCTTCTGTTTCTCTGAGGGCAGTGTCAGGGGATGTTTGTTAAACAAATGAATGACTTGGAGGCAGAAGGTGCCCCTATCTTCCGACCACCTCTCTGAGTTATCTGAGGAAGGGCAAAGCTCCACAGCGGGCGGCTCTCTGTTCCCGATCCCCTAACACTGCACAGCTTGATGGAGTCATCTATAGACGCTGATGGTGAGCTAGCAGTGAGCCTCTAAATCTCTTGAAACAATAAAATGCTGCTTCAAAACCTCTGGTGCTGTTTTGAGTTATGGCACTGAACAGCTGCCTTCACAAGCCCTGTCATCTGTTATAAAACAAAGCGTAACTGCACCGCTTCTAGGCAGGTGCTGAGAAAGAATGTCCACTGCAAAGGCCTGATCTCTTAAAGGGATAAGATAAAATTGCGAAGCCAGCAAGGGAAGAGTAAAAGTAACTCTAGGGGTTAACTCCTTAGGAGACTGATGTTGTTTATATCAGTTGACTTAACAGGATAAGGAGAATGGAGTGAGATACAAATATGGAACAGGGTTGGGAAAATCCAGGTTAATTCCTAAGTCCTCTGTGGACTTCCCAATGAACTGCTCTATTGCAGTGTAATCAAACTTCATCACTTTCGCTTTAAATACCTCCCTCCACAGAGAATAAAGGACAACAGTGAAAAGTGGATTCCCTTACTATTGTTAGGGGTCGTGTTTATCATTTACCATTTAAAATTTATAAGAGTAAACATAACATTGCTTTATTTTTTAATCAGCACAGGTTAAGCAATAGAGTTTGGCTCGCGTTATTTTTCCCCACTTGGAATTTTATGGGATGCAACTTGAAACACAAATTTAAAATTTCAGTGGCTTATTCTTTCTATTATACCGTGTTTAATAGCTTGTTCTCAGTTTGTCAGTTGCTTGTTTGGTTCAATCTGTGTCCTCGTGGTAAAGGCTATTGAATTATGATTTGGACACGGTTAGATTTGTGTAGTTATGCATACTGTAAAGTCCCAGGAAAATAGAATTAAATAATTAATTAATAGAATTAATAGAATTTTAAAATTAATTTCGGGGTGCAGAAGTTTTGATAATATGGCTTTTCACATTTCTTTCATAGCAGAGACATCCAACTTATTGTTCCATATTAATTCATTCAAGAATTGGTCTTGAATTTGAATGTAGTATTGACCAATTATAAAGTGTAGAGAAATGAGGGTAGGGGTGTTCTTTTTTACCTGACAAGAATAAAGAGAAGTTCACAGAGTATTGTAAGGAAGTCATTCTTAAACAACCAACTAAAATTCCTTAAGGACTGGGTTCCTATTGGCTTATTGAAAGCATCTGAAGGAGGAGAACAAAGAATGTCAATTACAGTATAAGGTGGTGGTTTTTATTTTCTTCTTAGAATGTTAGGACTAGTTCATCCTTATCCAACCCTCTCATTGTATTTAAAAAGAAATGGAGACTTAGGATATGTCTTACATTATTTAATTCCCAGTCCAGTATAGTTTACTCTATACCAGACTCTGTGAACGTTTAAGGTAGATTCCTTGGTTTGTGAAGAACGAAAACTGAAAAACTGGTGTGAGGCATCAAGAGAGGGGGATTCCATTGGGAAGAACTAGAACTCCATTATAACTGGGACTCGAGGAGAAAATGGTACCCAGGGTGTATCTATGAGTTTAAACACCAGGAATTTATGGCTTTTCTCTCAAGTCTCTCCTTAATGTGCCTCAGCTATGTTCATGAATCTTCTGTTTCTTAGATTTTCTAACCTCTCCTGCTTTCAAATATGCTTCTTTTTTTTTTTTTGCGGTACGAGGGCCTCTCACCGTTGCGGCCTCTCCCGTTGCGGAGCACGGGCTCCAGACGCGCAGGCTCAGCGGCCATGGCTCACGGGCCCAGCCGCTCCGCGGCATGTGGGTTCCTCCCGGACCGGGGCACGAACCCGTGTCCCCTGCATCGGCAGGCGGACTCTCAACCACTGCACCACCAGGGAAGCCCATCAAATATGCTTCTTTATAATTCCAAACTTTGACCTGCTTATGATTCCATTTGGCCATATTCTTCTTCATGGCTCCTTTGAAGGCATCCTTCCAGTTTTGACTCCTACTGTGTGATCGTTTCCTCAGTTCCTAAATCAAATTCCCCATAGCAAGAATCCGACTGGCAGAGCTGACTATGACAGACCACATCAAAAGATCCAGAGAGCTTACAAATCATCAATGTATTCTAATCAGGTCCCCACCATGGGCTCACCCAGGATAGTGAAGCCAGAAACGTGGCTACCTAGAAACACCCTCTCTTTTCAGAGGAAGTGGGTCAGATGAAGCTCATCAGAGCTTGTACTCATCAGGCATCAGGATAGACAAGGCCAGTGCATTCTGTACTTTGGGAGACTCTCTTTTCTTCCCACACCTCAAGGGCTTAGTTGTGGTGCCACCAGAGGAAAATGTGGAACCATTCTGATGTTCACCTTCTTCTACTGTCATCTATGAATTTGCTGTATTCAGATCAAGACTGGTTATCCAAGAAGTCTCAGCTCAGGTCCTGAGCTCTTGGGGACGTAAATTCACTACCTTCATGTTGTCACATCCCTGTCCCTCAAGATTCTGGGAAGAGGTACTCTGGTTATAAACTGCCACACGGCCAAACATCTTTATTGAGGTATAATTGCTTTACAATGTGGTGTCAGTTTCTGCTATATAACAAAGTGAGTCAGCTCTACGTATACATATATCCCATATCCCATATTGCGTCTTCCTCCCACCCTCCCTATCCCACCCCTCTAGGTGGTCACAAAGCATGAGCTGATCTCCCTGTGCCATGCGGCTGCTTCCCACTAGCTATCTGTTTTACCTTTGGTAGTGTATATATGTCCATGTCACTCTCTCACTTCATCCCAGCTTACCCTTCCCCCTCCCCGTGTCCTCAAATCCATTCTCTACGTCTGTATCTTTATTCCTGTCCTGCCCCTAGGTTCTTCAGAACCACATTTTTTTATTTTTTTTAGATTCCATATATATGTGTTAGCATACGGTATTTGTTTTTCTCTTTCTGGCTTCACTCTGTATGACAGAATCTGGGTCCATCCACCTCACTACAAATAACTCAATTTCATTTCTTTTTATGGCTGAGTAATATTCCCTTGTATATATGTGCCACATCTTCTTGATCCATTGATCTGTTGATGGACACTTAGTTTGCTTCCATGTCCTGGCTATTGTAAACAGTGCTGCAGTGAACATTATGGCACATGACTCTTTTGGAATTATGGTTTTCTCAGGATATATGCCCAGTAGTGGGATTGCTGGGTCGTATGGTAGTTGTATTTTTAGTTTTTTAAGGAACCTCCATACTGTTCTGCATAGTGGCTGTATCAATTTACATTCCCACCAACAGTGCAAGAGTGTTCCCTTTTCTCCACACCCTCTCCAGCATTTATTGTTTGTAGAGTTTTTGATGATGGCCATTCTGACCAGTGTGAGGTGATAACCTCATTGTTGTTTTGATTTGTATTTCTCTAATGATTAGTGATGTTGAGCATCCTTTCATGTGTTTGTTGGCAATCTGTATATCTTCTTTGGAGAAATGTCTATTAAGGTCTTCTGCCCATTTTTGGATTGGGTTGTTTGTTTTCGTGATATTGAGCTGCATGAGCTGCTTGTATATTTTGGAGATTAATCCTTTGTCAGTTGCTTCGTTTGCAAATACTTTCTCCCATTCTGAGGGTTGTCTTTTGATCTTGTTTATGGTTTCCTTTGCTGTGCAAAAGCTTTGAAGTTTCATTAGGTCCCATTTGGTTATTTTTGGTTTTATTTCCATTCCTCTAGGAGGTGGGTCAAAAAGGATCTTGCTGTGATTTATGTCATAGAGTGTTCTCCCTATATTTTCCTCTAAGATTTTTATAGTGTCTGGCCTTACATTTAGGTCTTTAATCCATTTTGAGTTTATTTTTGTGTATGGTGTTAGGGAGTATTCTAATTTCATTCTTTTACATGTAGCTGTCCAGTTTTCCCAGCACCCCTTATTGAAGAGGCTGTCTTTTCTCCATTGTATATTCTTGCCTCCTTTATCAAAGATAAGGTGACCATATGTGCATGGGTTTATCTCTGGGCTTTCTATCCTGTTCCATTGATCTATATTTCTGCTATATAACAAAGTGAGTCAGCTATATGTATATAGCTGACTGTCTTGATTACTGTAGCTTTGTATTATAGTTTGAACTCAGGGATCCTGATTCCTCCAGCTCTCTGTTTTTCTTTCTCAAGATTGCTTTGGCTATTTGGGGTCTTTTGTGTTTCCAGACAAATTGTGAAATTTTTTGTTCTAGTTCTGTGAAAAATGCCATTGGTAGTTTGATAGGGATTGCACT